CCATAGCAGAGAACTAGATTGGAAGAGGAGTAGCCAGGACTAGAACTGGCACCCACATGGGATGCCTGCGCTTCAGGCCAGGGCTTTAACCCACTGTTCCACAGCACTGGCCCCTCTCATTGCGGTTTTGATTCACATTTCCCTAATGGCTCATGATGAACATTTTTTTTTTCATATATTTGTTAGCCATTTGTGTTTCTTTTTGAGAACTGTCTGTTTAGGTCCTTTCCGATTTCTTAATTTGCTTGGATGTTTTTTGTTGTTGAGTTTTAAGTTACTGATATATTTTGAATATCAATACTTTGTTGGAGAGGTTTTCCAAAAAATGTATTTCATTAAAAATTTTATTTTAAATGGAGAGTGAACTGGAAGGAGAGGTGAATGGGAAGGGAGATGAGGAGATATGGGGAGGGGGAGAGGGAGAGAAGGATAGAAGGAGGGAGGGAGAGAGAAAGGAATGGAGGGAGGGAGAGAGGAAGACAGAGAGAGAGGGAGGGAGGGAGGAATGAAGAGAAAGAAAGAAAGAGACACTGTTCATCTACTGGTTCAGTCCTGAAATGTCTAAACTAGCTGGGGCTACCTAGATAAAATCCAGGATCCTGGATCTCAATCCAAATTTACAACATGGATAGCAGGGACACAAATAACTGAGCCATTCCAGAGTATGCATTAGTAAGAAGCTGGAATGGGAAACAGAGTTGGGGCTTGATCCCATAGTCCAGTATGGCAGGTGGCATTGTGGCATCTTAGCTACTGTCCCCAGTATGTGCTCCTTATACCATATTTTGAAGTTTGTAAGTAAAATTCTTTCTAATATTTTTATTTTTTTGCAAGATGGTATTGGCTTCTCAAGATCTTCTAGGTTTATATATATGTACATATATATATATATATATTAGGATTTTTTATCTGCATCTATGAATTTGTGATTGAGAATTTTGTAGGGACTGCATTGTATCTGTTGATTCACTTAGGTGTGGTATTCACATTTTAACAATATTAAATTTTCCAATCGATGAGCATGGGATGGATTTCATTTCTGTGTGTCTGAGTTAATTTCTTTCATTAGTGTAGTATACTTATTAGAGAACATATCATTCCATTCCCTGGTTAAATTTCTTCTTAATGATTTCATTTAATTTACTACAATTTTAAGTGAGAATTGTTCCTTTTCTTTCACATAGTTTGTTTTTAGTGTAAAGAATTGAGGGAGGTTTGTTTTGTGTTTTTTCTTTGTATACTGCAACTTTCTTGAATTCTTTTTTAAATACTTATTTATTTTAAAGAGTTACACATATAGAGAAGGCGAGGGGGAAGAGAAGGGGGAGGGAGAGGGTGAGAGAAGAGGTAGAGAGAGAGAGAGAGAGAGAGAGAGAGAGAGAGAGATCCATCGATCTTACATCCTCTGGTTCATTCCCCACTTGGCCCCAGTGGTTGGAGCTGCACTCATCCAAAGCAAGGAGCCAGGAGCTTCTTCTAGGTCTCCCATGTGGGTGCAGGGGCCCAAGGATTTGGGCCATCTTGTACTGCTTTTCCAGGCCATAGAAGAAAGCTGGATTGGAAGTGGAGCAGCCCATGTCTTTCATACATTTCTCAGTTGAGTTATGTCCTTCATTGCTATGTTCTATCATCCAGATAGGTGCATGTTATTCTATCAAGTTAATTGTTAGATATTATTTTATTTTGCATATTACAAGTTTGTGCATTTTAATTACTTTAACTTTACAAAGTGTATACAACATTTTTTTTCCACCAAATTACCAGTTCCTCTTACTCAAATTTAACATGTATTTAGATTACAATCCTAATGGGGAAAACTGCCAAATCAAAGAAGGAAGAGTGATATGAGGGTGCTTTGATAAGTTTCTGGAGAACTGAAATTAAAAGATGTTTATTTTCATGTCAAAAATTTTTGAAATCCATGTTGTATATAATACGCATTTTTACATACTTTTTGACCACCCCTCATATGAATATATTTGGACATTTTGAACCAAAATATACTTACTGTTCAATAGAATTTTTAAAAAGATTTACTTATTTTGGGCAAGTGAGTCAAGAACTTATGAAATCAGTTTTCATTTATTTTTTGTTGAAGTGATTCCATCTTTATCTACTGTCTGCTGAGATCCAGGCTGGTCATAGAAAGGACATATCCTTTGAAAATGTGGAGACACACTTATTTTATTAAATTAATAGTGATAAAAGTAGATTTAAAACTTAGAAATGAATTCAGAATTTTGGCTACTGGTAGTGAGGGAGGGAAGAAGGGTGGGAAGTGTCATTGTGCTCTTCTAATTGTACATATGAAATGTGTTTCCTTTATATAAATAACAAAGTTAAAAGAAAAAAAAGATTTATTTATTTGAAAGAGAGGGTTAAAGAGAGGCAGAAAAAGAGATCTTCCAGACATTGGATCACTCCCCAAATGGCCACAAAGGCTGGATTTGAGCCCTTCTGAAGCCAGGAGTCGGGAGCCTCTTCCATTGCTCCCATGTGCATTCAGGGTCCCAAGGACTTGGGCTATCTTCTACTGCTTTCCCAGGCCTTAGCAGAGCACTGGATTGGATGTGGAACAGCCTGGACTTGAACCGGCATTCATATGGGATGCCGGCACTGCAGGTGGCAGTTTAACACACTATGCCAAAGTATCAGCCCCTGAAGTCAATTTTACTGGAGATTTTTTAGTACCCTTATATTACTAAGTGATAGAATACATGTGATTTTGGTTTCAAAACTGGTCTCTGGATTGGTTTTTTGAAACCTGAGTTTTAGATGATGTTATTAACTAGGAAGAACTAACTTCTGGTATGATTTTAAGAGATGTGTTTTTCTTTTTCTAACTTAAAGATACTGTATGTCTCTAATGTTCATCTCATGAATTGTTTCTGGGGCTAGGTAAACTTCCATGTATTGATTTATTACCTAAATTCTGTGTTTTAGCCTCATATTCAATATTTTATCTGGAAGGTTCCATGCTGGAGCTGCCCAAGGCGATGCTGAATGTCTCTAATGGCAGCACAGAGTGGTCTTATATGAATCCACACCGCAAATGTCTCTACTTTCTTTGGGGAACCTGCAAGTAGGACTTGCACTAGTAGAAAAAATCTTCATATTATTAATGGCACAAATTTACCAAAAATGTAAAACTTATTGAAAAACTGTAATTTTTGCCACTTTAAAAAGCTTCTCACTTTATTTTTGAGGAAAAAAATTACTGCATTGGCTAGAACATAAGTGGAAACATCTTTATTGTGGTAATATACACATAACATAAAAATATCCCCTTTAATCTTTTTTTCACTTTTATTTAATGAATATAAATTTCCAAAGTACAGCTTATGTATTACAATAGCTTCCCCCTACCCATAACACACTCCATCTGCAACCCTCCCCTCTCCCGCTCCCTCTCCCTTTCAATTCACATCAAGATTCATTTTAATTTATCTTTATATACAGAAGATAAATTTAGCATATATAAGTAAAGCTTTCACCGTTTGCACCCACACAGAAACACAAAGTGTAAAATACTGTTTGAGTAATAGTTATAGCATTAAATCACAATGTACAACACATTTAGGACAGAGATCCTACATGAGGAATAAGTGCACAGTGACTCCTGTTGTTGACTTAACAAATTGACACTCTTGTTTATGGCATCAGTAATCCACCTAGGCTGTTGTCATGTGTTGCCAAGGCTATGGAGGCCTTTTGAGTTCTCCGACTCTGATCATATTTAGACAAGGTCATAGTCATAGTGGAAGTTCTCTCCTCCCTTCAGAGAAAGGTAGCTCCTTCTTTGATGGCCTGTTCTTTCTACTGGGATCTCACTCACAGAGATCTTTCATTTAGGTCTTTTTTTTTTTTTTTGCCAGAGTGTCTTGACTTTCCATGCCTAAAATACTCTCATGGGTTCTTCAGCCAGATCCAAATGCCTTAAGGGCTGATTCTGAGGCCAGAGTGCTGTGTAGGACATCTGCCATTCTATGAGTCTGCTGTGTATCCCGCTTCCCATTCTGGATCCTTCTCCCCCTATTTTATTCTATCAGTTAGAATTAGCAGACACTAGTCTTGTTTATGTGATCCCTTTGACTCTTAATCCTATCATTATGATCAATTGTGAACAGAAATTGATCACTTGGACTAGTGAGATGGCATTGGTATATGCCACCTTGATGAATATCCCCTTTAATCTTATTTAGCTGTGCAATTCAGTGGCACTAAGTACATCCCACTGTTGTACAACCACAACAACCATCCATTTCCAGAATGTTTTCCTCTTTCTGTACTGAATTCTGTGACCATTAAACAAGAGCTGCATTTTCCTCCCCTCCATCAGTCTCTGGCCACCTTATATGAGGAGATTCTTAGAATACCTGTTTTTTGGTGGCTGAATGATTTCACTTAGCATAATAGATTCAAGGCTCATGACAGAATTTCCTTCTTCTTTGAGAACAAAAATGATTTCATTATTTGTACAGGTCATATTTTGTTTATACACTCATATGGTTATTGGGTTGCTTCTATTTTTGACTGTTGTAATAATGCTATTATGGGTTTTGGTGTGCAAATCACTGTGTGAGTTCATGTATTCAACACTTTTTGGCATATACATCGGGGTAGAGTAGCTGGATCATATGGTAATTCATGGTAAAACCTGATTGTATGCATAGTTAGGCAGTGCACAGATCACTGTTGATTTGTTGAAAGGGCTTTGAACTCTTATGAATCTGTAACTGTCTGGATCACACAAGACAGTGACCAATGGGATCTATCTCACACTTCCATCTTGAAGAGCCACTCACACATAAAGCACATTTGTGTCAGCTCATACCAGTACACTGTCCCATTATGCATTATGATCTTGCCATACAGCCATCCAATTAAATAATCCAAGGATAAGGCATAACTCCATATTATACTTTACCCAGACAGCAAATACTGGCTGCAATAATAAAAATGTGGAAAGCAGTACAATAGCTCATTTAGAGAACCACCTTTCACTGAACAATTAAACATCTATTTCTCTCCACTCTGATGGATTTCACAAAGGTAATTATACGTTTTTCAGTACAGAGGAATACGAAAGGACTGACTGTGGCATAGCTGTTGGCCACAATAAAATGGGTGCAGTAAAAAATTGGATCATCATTCATCTTGAGTCTTGAGGCAGAGAAAATGGATTCCAAAATGGACATGACCATGAAAAAGCTCAAGAGCACCAGAATGCTCTGTGTGGCCCTTTGCTCTGGGGAGGCTCTTGGAGTCAGGTTGGTGCCACGTAGGTGCTGGGACTTTTTCCTGTGCCTGTAGAGGAGCATTACCATGTATCCACTTGAGAGGACCATGAGCCCTATATGGAAGACTTCCCTAAAGATCAGCAATGTGTAAAATGTTTGAATTAGGAAATAGCTCATGGCCCAAACAGAGCAGGATTTAGTGACATACATTACACTGTGTGAGGTCCCATTGGGAGTGCCAACGATGCTGATTATGGCGTGGCTGCTAACGGACATATAGAAGAAGCATAGGACAAGCATGGAGCACAGGCTTTGACGTAAGTGTTTATGCTTGAAGTTTGCCAACCAGGAGTTCCTGGGGCTGAGGGTGATGGCCTGGAGGACACACAGCACGCAGGTGGTGTACAGGGAGAGGGCCCGCAGCACCCGGTAGGAGAAGAAGACTGCTTTACATGTGACGTCATCCCAGGAACGCTGAGATCCAAACATGTCCATAGCCTGGCTCACCACAATCATCAGCATCACTAAGTGGATGAGGGCCAAGAGACCAACTGTCATGTCGATGGGCTTGGGTCTGTGCTGGAGAAAGTAATTGAGGACGTGGAAGAGAAGAAGGAAGGCATTGGCCGAGATCCCAATGGAAATTTCAGTGTAATAAATGAATCTCATCTCATTGCTTTCATAAATTTTGTAATTTTTATACATATTATAAGTGGAAGAAGTATACATTTTGAGTCTGAGGAGAAAAAAGAGTAATTTTTCATCAAATTCATGAGCACATTCATCAGTTTTCTCCAACACTCTTGTCATTCTCATTCATAATACGGAGATCAACCCCATTCAACCTCTGTGACACTGAAGTCTACCTCAGAGCCACAGCCCTGCCCCCAGGACACCTCTGCTTTCTTAGGTTGGATCATGTGTGTCATCGCTGGGTTCCAAAGTGTATAAGCTGTGCTCTTCATGAAACATCACCATAGGGCCATGTGTTTGGAGCGGCTGTTAAGGCAATACTTGGGATGTCTGCACCCCCGCCCCCCCATATCACAGTGATGAGGTCTGAGCTTGCTCTCTATTCCTCCTTCCTAGAAATGTGCTCCCTAGGGGGTGGTAAGCAATGGCTCACATGGCTGGGTCACCTCCTCCCATGTCAGAGATGCAGATTGAGCCCCTGATTCCTAACATACCCTGGCTTGCTCCAGGCCAGTGTGGACAAGTGAATGGGGAGAACATGCTTTCTTCCCTACTCCCAGCACTCTGACTCTCATATAAACACAATCACTCTTAAAAATGTCATATATCATGTAAATATCCTTATTATAGCTTCACTCTGAGCTTTCTCAGGGGCACAAGCAATGTCTTAGTTGGCTTGATCTGCATCATCTTGATAAAGTATCAGGAACAAAGTAGAGTTCTACCACATTTGTTGAAATGGAATGACAAAGATTGTGTAAAAATAATAATACATACACACACACAGTCTCATAACTTAGAACTTCACAAAGCTAGCTTATATCAGTGATACTTTTTGGTGTATTTATTGCCATAGCATGTATTCCTATCATGCATCCATGGAGCACATGTCCTTCAGAGTGAACTCTGGCGTCTGCCTTCTGGGATTTATGTCCCCGGGCTGCCTTCCCTACAAGTGTGACTTTTAGCCATCTGCAAGGCTGAGATCTGCTCATGCCATCCAACCAGTATTCTCAGTCTTACGTGTGGCCTGGATCTTTGTGCTACCTTGTGTGAAAAAGTTGAAGTACATACCAAACGTGGAAGTGGATCTAGAGTTGTTTATCTTAGAAATGTTTATCTTAGAAATGTTTATTTTATGCAGGTCCTCATAAATGTGATCTAGGGGGCTTCATGCAGTTCTTTACTGATTGATCAACTCTGCCTCTAGAATAGAGAAGATAAAATACATATATAGCAGAAATTTTTAACAATATTTGATTAGAGGTCTCTGATGTAGTTGTAATCCTTTTCTCTGAATTCACAAGATAGCAACATTTCTTAACTAATTGTTATTATCTTGTCAAAGCACTGAGTAGAATCCAGTTATCAACTCTTAGGAAGATCTTCTCATTTTACTCATGCGTGTAGATGGGTGGGTATTAAATGGGACCACAACTGTAAGAGTTTCAGGGACATACTATTTTAAGAGAGTCCATTAAAATGAGAAATACAAATAGAAATGCCATAGCCACATTATTCTTTTTTTTTTTTTTAACAGGCAGAGTGGACAGTGAGAGAGACAGAGAGAAAGGTCTTCCTTTGCCGTTGGTTCACCCTCCAATGGCCGCCGCGGCTGGCGCGCTGCGGCCGGCGCACCGCGCTGATCCGATGGCAGGAGCCAGGAGCCAGGTGCTTTTCCTGGTCTCCCATGGGGTGCAGGGCCCAAGCACCTGGGCCATCCTCCACTGCACTCCCTGGCCACAGCAGAGAGCTGGCCTGGAAGAGGGGCAACCGGGACAGAATCTGGCGCCCCGACCGGGACTAGAACCCGGTGTGCCGGCGCCGCTAGGCGGAGGATTAGCCTAGTGAGCTGCGGCGCCGGCCCACATTATTCTTGTGGATAGGAATCCTTCAAATAAAAAAAATACCCCCATGCCATGGTCTTAGCGAGTCCTCTCCCAGCCGTGCCTTATCACATGCACAGGTGAACAGCTTCAGTGTGGTGTAGGAGATGAGGATACAGGACAGGAGCTCTCTGCCATCAGCAGGGTAATCTAGGAGACCCTCCCCACACACAGCTCCTGGGATGTTGGTGTGGAGACAGAGCCTGGCTTGCTTAACAACCCACACATTGAAACTGCATTTTCCATACTGGAGAAGACAGGAGGCCCTGAGAGAGTCGTGACTTCAGTGACAAGTGACATAAATCACAGGGAGAACCATGTGGAGCTCCTGAGATACACTGGGGAACAAGCAGGAAAAGCAAAGTGACCAGTACCTGCCCAACCGCACGTGCGTGAGCCGGCACACAGCAGTCATCATTCCCACAGAGCTCAGCTCCACCATCGTGACACTGTGTCCTCGCTGTGGCACCTTCTATGTGTCACAGTGAAATTGGACGAGAGGGGACTGGGAGCTGAGATGGTCATGCACCGTGCATGTGGGTTAGGGATTGGGAAACAGCACAAGCTGCTCACCTCACAGAGGAGTTCCAGCTGGGACACTCTGAGGCGCCCTGGGGGAAGTTGCTGTCACAGCCAGGAAGGCGACGTCATCTCCACGCAGAGCTCGGTGCTGTGTGCAGAGAGGCTGTGCATATAGGAGCCAGGGATGTGAGGAAGAAGCACCTAGAGAATTTTGGGCAAATGAAAGGCAGCTCTTTTGAAATGATTGGAGGTGAGAATTAGCCATTGTTTTTGCAGCTGGGAGCCTTGTGTAGCACAGCTCAGCACTGACAGGTGCAGGGAGAATATTTACAGCATCCATATTTTTCAGTGAATCTTGAGAGAAATCAGGAGAAGGGAAAGGGTTTGAAGGTAGAGAGACAGGACCCCGAGAGCTCAGCCCAGGCGCTGCCCGGTCCTTACCAGAACCCGAGCCCTGGGGCCACCCTGCTCCCTGCAGCACCCAGGGCAGAATGGGAGCCCCGAGGGCTCTGCCTGGAAAGCAGTGGCTCTCCTTCATCTGCACTCGCTGTGCATCTGAGTGTTGTCTTGTCCATGGCTGAGTTGGGAGGGGGCACTGAGAAAGGAGACTGCAAAGAGCGACTGATGGACGCAGACCCCTCCCTCTGCAGCTCTATGATACTGCATTCCTCGGTGTTCAGAGCTGAGAGGCAGAAGCTTCCATCACCTTCCCCTGCTTTTACTATTTTCTGGAATTGTGATACATCGTCACTGTCCTCACACTGAGAAAGCACAGGCTCAGGGTGTCATTCTCCACACAAGAAACCTGAAGTTTCCACTGGAAAAATGTTCCTGACAAATACTGGTGTATTTCTGCAAGGATGTGAGGTTAAACCATTTCCTCCTCAGCATACACATGTTCTTTTTTAATCATCACAAACTACAGCAAACACCTATAGTAACAGTCCTGCTTGATTCATGAGCTGAGAAAGGCACAATGGGTTATACTAAATAAAAGACTCATTGACACTTTGTTGTTTCCTGCTCACCAGTTTCTGCCTAAGTAACACTCTGTTTAAATTCACAATACAAAGTAATATGTAGTTGAATTGTTGTACAGCACCCAAAAAGACCTCTTAGTAACAAAAGTATGTAGAAATCTAAAGCTAATTATTTTCTGTGAATTATCTAACTTTAGGTTCCTCGCTTTAAAGAACTGAATATACTGAGAAACACAGGGACCCTCGTCTAGCTGAGCAGGCGGGTGGTGCTGATGGCCCCTCTGAAGCTCCTACACCCCTCACCATGGCCCATTCCCTGCCAGTTGCTGTATGAAGGCCCCACCACCCCTGACTCCCACACATGTAGTAAAGAGTCGCTCACCAGGCAGACGTGTGCAGGGGACTCTGCACCTGAGAGGAACCTGCAGTTTTAAGGGAAGGATGTCTGAGCTCATCTCTCTGCAGGCTGTCATTTTCGCATCTGCCCAGAGCTGATGGATCCCGGTGGGGAGCTCAGAACATGGAGTCCCCAGTGGAAAATATCACCTGTGTCCTCACTGTCCTTTATTCCCTCCTGCACAAAAGGAGTCTGGGGAGAGCTGAGCTCAGAACTTCTTCTGAGTCCCTGACACCGCAATGTGAGGGTCAGATGGGACCCACCCTGTAGATGACATCGAGTTCTCTCCTTGTGATCCTGAGAGCAGCTTAGTCTCTGCCCACTGCATCGAGGTCCCTTGCCCACAGTGTGTGATGGGCTCCTTCTCCTCCAGGGCCACCCTCACACAGAGCACCTCGATCCTGGCTGTTACTGGCCCTGTAATTCCAGTATCTCAGGCTCTATGCTCAAAGTTCAATCTATGGCTCTAATTTTAAATGCATATTTAATAAAATAAAGTAGAAGAGAAGATTATTTTCATAAAAATGTAAATACCTTGGGAACCAAATGAAAGTACAAGAACTAAAGGCGTCACAGTTCAATGTCTGAAATTTGGACATGGTGGCCTCCAGGGTTCAGGACGCCAGAGCAGAAAGCTTCTATGAATGCAGCTCCTCCTTCTCCCTTGTGTTCTCTCCTTTGGGAGCAAGACCCTGGCAGAGCCCACCCTCAAGCGGGAGTGTGTTATGCACCCCCTCTGGCGGGGGCTCTGACTGCACTCATTATTTTGAATCCTTCTGTTTGACTTTTCCTTCTCCCTAACTTATTTGTGTGTAGTCTTTTTTTCTTTCTTGTGACATAAGTGTGTGCTCATATATTCCCCTTACTGCATCATTCACCTTTATAGTCCCATAGTTCCAGCTTTGCTGTCATGAAGTCTTTCAGCTGAGTTCCTGGGCCATTGTCACACATCCATGTTTTCTGTTTTGAGATCACTTTCTTTATAATGTAAGATGTCCAGGCTCCTGTTTTGTTTACCTTGTTAGTCTGAGTCAGCTATTTCTCCAACAAGCCAGGTTTCTTTTCCATAGTATTAGCAGGGATTACATCATTTGTGGTGCTTGAGTAAAATGAAAAGCTGCAAGTCCTTATTCAAGCAGAGAACAAGTGCCATTGTTGTTCTAAAACATAAGATACTGAGTTACAGTGGTGCTTTTTATTTGCTTTTTTGAAGGTTTTTAGTGAATG